GGAGGAGGAGGAGGAGGAGGGAAGCCAGCTGATCCTTCGCTTAGCAAATGGGGTCTCCAAGGTGTCCGCACAGAAGAGTGACGTGCAGGGAGACCTCTCTGACAAACCCCAGGCAGGAGTCAAATAGAGCCCATCCCCTGAGTTTTTGCAGATAACGTTTTATTGGCACACAGCCACGGACATCCATGCATGTTTTATCTGTGGCTGCTCCCTAGGTACAGCGTCAGATGGTTACATGGGAGGCTGCTAGGTCCCGAAATAGTTACACCCTAGCCCTTGACATCACATTCGTTGTCTGGACCCTAAGCCACAGCACCTGCTGGAGAAGGGAGGCATCGCACAGAACCGCGAGGGGCTAACAAGGGCCGCTATTTTGAAGGTGACATGGTGACAGGTGAGTTTGAACAAGTGCCTGACTCTGCCAACAGATGGAAGTTGAAGCCACGGGAAGGCAGAAGACCAGGAGAAGGTCCTCCTCAGTGGAACGAATGGAACTCACCATGTGGACATTCACACCTGTTTGGGGGGGGTTGTGACTTAAACATGGAGTGGTTACCTGAAGGGTCCGCAGTGTAGAGACTGGCTGCAGCTGCCATGGGCCCCGGTGGATGAAGGGCGCTCGCAGATGACCTCTGGCTCGCAATCAGAATCCTGCTCTTTGCCGACGGCAGACGGGACATCGCACCCAATCCCAACTGGGGCTTCAGCAGCATGGCAGATCGGTAGAAAGTCGGAGGGACTTCGTAATGAGCAAACGGAGGAGGGCAGAAGTCTTCTTTTCCGGGGTGCTCTGTAACCTGTAATGGTCGATCAGAGGTCAGGTAAGCGTGCTCAGCGCCAAAGCTCGATGGATGACTTATCACTTGATCACACTTCATGTATCTCCTCTAGGTCCCACGGTCTGCGTCTCTAAGTTCACAACACCACTGTGGGATCTGTCCCATCTCTTCCTTCTCTTCTGCTTCTAATATGCTGTGAACCTGGGTTGGGGCCGGGGCGGGGCTGACGCTTTAAAGGTTAGTACTGAACCGCTAGCTTCAAGAACAGTGGCTCAAACCCATCCTTGGAAGCCCTGTACCGGCTGCTATGGGTCAGACATAGGACAATGGCGAGGATGGTGCAGGATTGGGCAGTGGTTTGTTCTGTTGTTCACAGGGTCGTTATGCGTTGAACTGACTCTTGGCCCCTAACAACAATGAGTCAGGATCAACTCCCTGGCAGGTTTTTTTTGGGGGGGGTAGAGGGATGGAGAGATAAAAAGAAAGGGTCCCTCTATAACCATGTGCTATTTCACTGTCCTGGAACTCCAGTGGAGTTCGTCCACTCTCCAAATACATAACCATCCTCGGAGCAAAGAAAGAAACTTGCACGCATCTGTAAAATGTCCAGTCTCCTTCTTCTCCACGAGACGGGGCCCCTTTCCTCACGGCACTCTGGCCTGGGTGGACTCTGTCGATGTGTGGGGAAGACCTCCCTAAGTCATTATCAATGTGTGGTAAAGACCTTACTAATTCATTATCAATGTACAGTGAAGACTTTACTAAGTCATTATCAGTGTATGGTTAAGACCTTACTAAGTCATTAACAGCATATGGTAAGACTTCACTAAGTCATTATCAATGTGTGGTTAAGTTTACTGTCATTATCAATGTGTGGTGAAACCTTACTAAGTCATTATCAGCATATGGTAAGACTTTACTAGGCTCCTTGGGGAGTAAATCATATTTTGGTGATGAGGGAGAGAGGGTCCCTGGAAAATAGAGGAGTTGGTGGGAAATATGTTTTCGGGCATCACCAATGTGTTTGCATATTTAAAAATAAGAAACTGTGAGTTACTTCCTGACGGTAGTGGGTTTACAGGATGGGCTTCAAGATCAGCAGTTTGGAGCTACCTGCTGCTCCTAAAGAGACAGAAGAGACTGTGCGCTCCTGTAAAGATGTCAGGGAACCGTGTAGTGGACGCCGACTCACAGTGGTCCTATAGAACAGGCAGACTTGCCCCGGGCGTTTCCGAGACTATAACTCTTCACGGGAGTGGAAAGCCATGCCGTTCTCCCTCAGCTGGAAGTTTTGAACTGCAGACCTCACGGTTAGTAGCTCAACCTGTAACCACGACACCACCAGGGCTCCTCTTGTAAAAACGTACACTCTTAAAAACCCAGCGGAGCAGTTCGACTCGATCTTCTAGTTCACGATGAGCCGTAATTGAGTCGCTGGCCATGAACTGAGTTGTCTGTTTCGGTTTCAGTGTGGTTTAGAATGGTGTTGTGACATTGTGCCCTGGTGGCACGAGGGTTAAGCACTTGAATGCTCATCTGGAGGATGGTGAGAAAAGGCCTGGCAATCTGGTCCTATAAAAAGCTGGGCCCAGGCGGCTCTGGGGGAGCCATTGGACAGTCCCACTGAGTCCAAGGAGCTAGAAACAGCTAGACAGAACACCGTAACAACAGGCCCTGAGGGTCTGTAAGCAGGTTTTAAAGGCAGCCTGTCTCTGTTCTTTCTGAAACTTAACCATCCCAAAACACCAAACCAAACTCACTGCCACTGAGTCAACGCCGACTCCGTGTGACCCGACAACACGGGGCGGAACTACCCCTGTGGGTTTCTGAGACCGCAACTCTTTACTGGAGTAGAAAGCTGGTGGTTTTGAACTGCTGACCTTGCAGTTAGCAGCCCAACTCATAACCACTCTGCCACCACAACTCCTGCTTTCTCTGGTAGTCGGCAGCTTGTCTTAGAGCACAGCTTGAGGGTACCTCTTTTTCACACTTAGAAGAACTTGTCTTTTTACTAAAAGGACAGCAATTTTAACAGCATTTCACAAATCACAAGATCTTTAAAGGTTATAGTAAAAATCAAACGAGCAAAACTTTTAAGGTTAACTCAATCTTACCACATGAACGAAATCTAAATACATTTCAGCCAAAATTAAAATATGGAATACCTGGAGGTAAATAAAGTAATTATCATAACACATTAAAGGCCTGATCGCTTGTTTCTGGGAGGTCAGTTTTCAAGAGAACTTAGTATGAGCTCAGTGTCGAAAGAGGCTCGACATAGGGGTTTCTGTCACGAACAGCTTAGATCAAAGTTTCTTTCATAACCTTTACCTGTTTGTTTATTTACCTACAGGCAGTCCAGGTTTTCCAGACTAGGGTAGATTATGATGAAGCAAGGCCTGATAACTTACTTCCAAATATCAGCCCATGAAAACATTATGGGTCACAACCGAATGTTGTCCAACAGAGTGCTGGAAGACGAGGCCCCTCGATTGGGGACACACATACACACACACACACACACACACACACACACCATCGCACTGATTCTGACGCTAGCAACCCTACGGGACAGGGTAAGACTGCCCCTGTGGGTGTCAGAAGCTGTAAGTCTTCACAGGGGCAGACAGCCTCATCTTGCCCCCAAGGGGTGGCTGGTGGTTTCAAAGCACCGAAAATACATAATGGCCATGATGATAGGCTTGATTATGAAGATGGTAGTGTGTGCGCGCATGTGTGTGCATTCGTAAAAAAATAAGTTTATATATATAAAGTTTTCTTTCATAACATTTATTTGTGAATTTGTTCACGTACAGTTTTTCTTATAAATTAGTTGGGGATCAACACTGCAGATCCTCAACTTTGTATCCAACAGTTTTGAGTTACGCATCCACCCCTCCCTCGCCACCAGATCGTTCACCCTTCAGTGGGCTGCTCTTAGAAACACACCCCAAGCTCAGGTGTATTCATTCATATATTTATGCTTCTAATTTACAATAGAAGTGCTTATAGATAATTAAGGGAAAAATTGTCTAATGAAAGAAAATAAGAAAGGGAAGAGGTAAAGGATCGATTCCTTTTCCGTTTTAATTTAAAGAAAGAGTGCCAACAAGTGAGTGCCTAAGAGTGCCAAAGGCGATGTCTGAAACGATACATCTGCTCATTAATTCTGCCCGACATCCCATTGCATTTCATGTGTCAGACTTGTATCCACTCCGGAATCGCAAGCATTTAAGCATGGTTCCTTAATTGGGGTACAGAGAGCTTTGATATGAGCAGCTCAAGAGATAAACCCCTAACCCGCTACTCGTTTAATACTGACATTACCGAAACAAATGACCGGGCCTTTAATGTGCTGTTAGAATTACGTTATAAAATATGCATGGTGACCTTTGCACATTGTCTGCCAGTCGGCTGATGCCAGCTATAGACTCCCGTCAAAGAACATTCTACATCTGCTGTGTGATCAAATGACCATCTCTGCTAACTCTCCCACCACCCAGCCTTGGCTGAGCTGTCAGACTCCTCAACGCGCTGCCAGAGAGTCAGCGCTGACTCATAGCACCCCTCCAGGACCAGGGTAGAACTCCCCTGTGGTTTCTGAGACTCGCTCACTGCCAGGGACTCAATGCTCACTCACAGGCCCCCCCGCCCCACATCCCGGACCCTGGGGTTCCTGCGACTGTAACTCCATGGTCTCAGCAGCAGTAGGTTGGTTTGGGTCTGGTTGCAATATCCTTATGAACGCTGGCTCGTCCCTTCCTGTGACCTTCCTGTGAGGGTATGTCCAATGGTCTACAGAGGGGCTTTGGGTCTCCACTCTGAGCCCTCTCTTTCACAGTGATATGATTTTTTTGTTTTGTGTCTTCTGATGCCTGATACCTGATCCTGTCAATACCTCGTGATCACACAGGCTGGGGTGCTTCTTCCATGTGGGCTTTGCTGCTTCCCTGCTAGATGGCTGCTTGTTTACCTTCAAGCCTTTAAGACCCCAGACACTGTATCTTTTGATAGCAGGGCACCATCAGCTTTCTTAACCATATATGCTTATGCACCCACTTTGTCTTCAGCGATTGTGTCAGGAATGTGAGCATTACACAACATTCCTCTATTTCTTTAATGCTTCCTCCCCTACCCACTATCATGACCCCAGTTCTACCTTACAAACCCAGCTAGGCTGGAGCATGTACACTGGTACAGATCAGAGCTCTCAACACACAGCATCCAGGACAGATAAACCCTTCAGGAAGAGTATTGGGAGCAGCAATACCTTCAGGGTAGGGGGAAGGTAGAGGGAGAAGGGGGAGAAAGGGGGAACCAATCACAATGATCAACATATAACACCACCAATGGTGTTATATGAACAACAGAAATGTGGTTGAAAGGAAGTAGCAACTTGTGTGAGATATGAGAATAATAGTGTATAATTTATCAAGGGTTCATGAGAGTGGGAGGTGGGGGAGGAAGGGGAAAAAGAGGAGCTGATACCATGGGCTCAAGAAGAAAGAAAATGTTTTGAAAAGGATGTCCAATGACAGACAATATGGAAGGCCATTGGCTCAAGTCCAAAAAAGCAGAGTTTAATGAGCCAGGGGCAGGACCCAGACAAGCAAGAAGCCAGCCGGTTTTCCATGGGATCCACTTGCATGAGAAGACCACACCCCTAAGGAAACTTCCTTTCAATGTAGGAGCTGTTCCTAACCCCTAACAAACTTCAGCGTGGAGATGATTACGTTGGGTTGGGTTAGAGCTCAACACAGGGGTACTAAGTCTTAACTGCCAAGCCACTGAGAACCTGGGCCAGCCAACTTGACACAAAACCTTAACTTTCACAACAGGGCAGTAGCCTCATAGGCCAAGAAATCTTTTGTTTGCTTTGCTTCCAAAATGATTTCAACAGCTTTACTTAAAAAAAATTCCGCCATGCAGTCAGTTCCCTCATAGCGACCCTTTGGGGCAGGATTGAGTCTTCAGTGGCCTGCCTGTCACTTGACATGCCCACCTTGGGTACATTTGCCACTGCAGCCACAAGCCTGCTGCCTTCCTGTCAACCTTGGGTTCACGACCCCCCTCAGCTACTTGAGTCAGACCCATGGACTTGAACTTTCCTGCTTTGCTACAACCACGCGAACCATTTCCTTGACAGAAATGTCACTGTGTAAATACGTAAATAAGCTTCACTGGTTTGGCTTCCCTAAGGAACCCAGTCTCGGGCAATCATTAGACTTTAATATATATCCATCCCAGTGAAGTCTTCTGATTAACAACAGTCTATAGCCAAACCAGTAAGGACTGTCCACCTTGAGCAGCCTGCTCGTTTGTGATCCAGCTATATGGGGTCAGACTGACAACAGCAATGGAAAAGATCAGCTGTGAGTCTCAAGGACAGCAAGTCGATGTTAACAAAGGAGGGACAACTCAGAGAGGGAGGGTGAGGAGGCCCACGGGCTCAGAGAATGCCATCAGGGCCCCTGGAATGCCCATGTAGAAACGGCTACCTTGGTGCAGGATCCGCTGTGCATCTTCAAAACAGCAGCACATGAAAAATCAACATTGAACATATTTCCAAACACCAAACAAGTGACATTAAAAAAATAATCGGGATTTCAAACTAAGTCCCAAGGCCAATCAAGGCCCACTGACAAATGCCATCTTGCCAGACCTTTCTTCTTCCCTGGAAAACCACACAGGTTCCCTTGAGGGGCCCCGGGGAGAGCACAGGGCCAAAGGACCCTGACCAAGGGATGGTCCGATGCCAGGGAATCGAGAGGGGAGGCCAGTCCCGAGCCACACACCCGCATATCACAAGCACACGGCCCAGTGTCGGTGTCAGTGTCTGGGTCTTGTCTTCTCAGCACTGCCCTATCTTCCCACCGTCCTCCCCATCAAACACCCAAAGGGCTGGCTCGGCAGGGTCCCCAGAAAAGTGCCCGAGACGGATCCTCCTGAACCCTAAGCTGACACATCCTCAGACAGCAATCTAAGCAAGGAGGGGTTGTTACCAGAGTGAACTTCTCGAAGCTCAGAAATCGAAAGCCCGATGCCACCAACTCCTCTGGAAAGGATCACATCCGAAGGATCCCTGGCGGCGTAGAGGTTATGCACTGGGCCGCTAACTGAAAGGTCAGCAGTTCAAAACCACTAGCGACTCCAAGGGAGAAAGGTGGGGCTTTCTCCTCCTGTAGAGAGTTACCGTCTCAGAAACGCTCAGGGGCAGTTCTACCCTGTCCTACAGGGTCACCATGAGTCAGGACTGACTCAATGGCAGTTGGCTTGGTTTGGGGTTAGATCTCTAAAAAACAAAACAAAAAAACCCAATCAACTCGGCCTCAGCGTGACCCTACAAGGCAGGCTAGCTCTGCCACTGGGGGCTTCTGGAGTTGTGAAGCCTCACCGAGGAGGAAAGCCACATTCATCTTCCTCCTCGGAGTGACTGAAGGATTCTCACTGCTGCCCTTACCACTGGCAGCTCCACCCACACAACCCTTTATGGCACCAGGGCTCCTTAAGTAGAATGGGAGGGAAACGTGACCAGAACACAGTCACCAGAGAGACCAGACTTACTGGTCAGATGGAGACCAGCAGGACCCAGGGACTATGGACCTTAGGCACGCTTCAGGCATGAAAATGAACTCAATTTTCAGCCAAACAATACATAAGTCAATAAGGGGAACAATAACACTAGGGGGGTGAGAACACTTTAGAATAATCAACTACTGGAGATCAAGGGGCAGCATTCATCCAAGGACAACATTCTCTTGGGTGGGTTAGGAAGGAGGGAGGGATGGAAACCAGAAACATGGGAAGTGGGATGAGTGAGGGTACCTTTGAATTGTTGAATGCAAACCTGATGATCGGCTCTGTAAGTGTTCACCCAATTCAAATTGAAAAATAAAAAATAAAGGCCCTGTGGGTCACAGCTGTACTCGGCCAGACGCCCAGTCACCATGAGTGGGAATCAATTTGATGACCACTGGTCTGGAGCCCCTGGGAGGTGCACACAGTGGATGAGTTTGCCTTAATGGTAGTGAGTTTTGTTTTATTTGGGTTTGTCTCTTACAACCTGGTCAGCCAGCAGAGGCCTCCGGCTTGTTCCCTGACTCACAGATTTTGGATTCACCAGCCTCTAGAACACAGTGAGCCAGCAAAGGCCTCCAGCCTGCTGCCTGACTCACAGATTTGGGCCTTGACAGCTGAAAGACATAAAGAAAAATTCAAGTCTTGAGTTGGAATAATGAAAGATTCTATATGCAAAATATTGAACGATGCCGGAAACATCAAGAGAAGATCAAAGGAAAACACAGAGTCACTATTCCAAAAGAACTGGTCGGAATACAAACATTTCAAGAGGTCCCATATGGTCAAGAACCAATGGTATTGAAGGAAGAAATCCAACCTGCATTGGTGCTAGAGAAGATTGAAAGGACCACGAACTGCCCGGAGGGCAACCCGGTCAGTATCGGAAGAAGTCAGGCCAGGGTGCTCCTTAGAGGCAAGGATGGCAAGACTTCATCTTACAGACTTGGGACATAACGCTGGGAGAGACCAGTCCCCGGAGAAGGACATCATTTTGGTAAAGTGGAGGGGTGCTGGAGAAGAGGGAGGCCCCTGACAAGATGGATGGACACAGCGGCTGCAGCCATGGGCTCAGGCAGAGGAACCATCATGAGGATGGTGCCGGACCGCCCGATGTTTCGTTCTGTTGTGCAGAGGGCCACTGTGGGTCCGTGCCAACTTGAAGGCACCTCACAACAGGAACTGACAAGAGAGCACCAGAAATGTTTCCACGTGCTGGTGAAGCGCTGCCAACACTCACCCATCAATGCCAAGAAACTAGGAAGACCTGGCCAAAAGAAAGGAAGAGAGCCACACTTGTGCCCATTCCAAAGACAGATGACGCCACCGAATGTGGAAACCCTCAGACAATATCACCACTGTCACGGGCAAGGAAAAAAGCGTGCTGACGGCCCTTCAACGGTTGCAGCAGGGCCTCGACAGGGAGCTGTCAAAAACTCGGGTCAGATTCCGAAGAGG